CTTTCTTTCTTTCTTTCTTTCTTTCTTTCTTTCTTTCTTTCTTTCTTTCTTTCTTTCAGGGTATCACCATTTTCTGGACCGCCCTGTGGGTATATGATCTGAGCTTATTTAAATTGTTGAGCTTTTGCAGAGGGGAAGGGGGGAAACATAAATTGAGAAGCTTTTGCAATATGGGAGCTATGAAAAGGGATTTTGTAATATGCTTCATTCTATAGAGGCATTGAGCAGGGGCAAAGCTAGGATTTCTGTCTCTGATGAAAGATTTCATTCTCGCGCAGGCCTGGCCCATGGCTTCAAGCCATCTGTATTGAATTGAACATCCTGCCAGACCGGCACTGAATCCGAACTTTCAGGCACCCAAATTCCCTTTAAAATGCTTAATAACTTCCTTCCCTGCTCTGTGTCAACTGAGAAGTTAAGAATTTGGAAGCAAGAAAGCCAGAGGTGGCCTCCCACGTATGGAAGATCTTCTACTAGATGCCCATATCATGTTAAGCCAAAGTTTGCCCCCCCCTTCAGCTTGTGGAATAAACTACAGTTTAGTCTATGAACTGTACTCTGCTAAACCATTAATGTTAGGGCTACTTTAGAGCATTTTCTCATTTTTTTTTTTAAAGGAAGCCCTTAACCCCAGAAAAATAGTGGGATATAAATGTCAGTCTGAATTCTTTATCTTTGTGCCCACAAGTCGTCCTCAACAGAATGCAGCTGACTATGCTGGTTGGGAATTTGGGGAGTTGCAGCCCAACACTTCTGGGTGTGATTGATATGGAGAAGTCTATGTTTCCTCCTCTTCCTTCACTCCAAAATTAATGTATTGAAATAATGCTGCTTTGGAAGAAGCATCCACAGTGCCTCCTGTGTGACCCGTGGTTCTTTGTTTCCAAACAGCCTTGGACGATGTCAGTGCCAAGCTGGAGCCACGGGGACCAAATGTGCCCAGTGTCGGGACGGATTCTCCAAGTTCAACGGAACAGTCTGCCAGCCCTGCCAGTGCAATAACCATTCTCTGCAGTGTGATCCTTTGACAGGTAAAATGGAGATGCCATGGGGTTGTTTTATGGAGGGAGGACCATGCGGGGAAGGGCTGCCCGGGAGTAACAACTACATGTAAAATCTGAGTGTGCTGGCTCAGAACGTAGAGGAGGAGAGAGGTTGGTGGGAGACAGGACCATCCTTCCTTTGGCCACTGGGTATCTATCTCACCATTCTCTGATAGAACCTCAGGCATCTTTGATCGCCCAGATGAACTGACCAGGAGCTTAGCTTGAGGAAGGGTTTGACTCACTAACCCAAATCGTAACAGTTCAGAGATGCACAATGAGATCTCAAACTCATTCACATGAAACGTTGCTTCATCTCCCATCTGGCTTCACCGTTTCTGCTTTTTTTGTTTGTTTTTGCACGTAGGTGCTTGCCTAAATTGTCAAGGAAACACAGAAGGCACTTACTGTGAGAAATGCAAAGGACAATTTTATCGAAACAACTCCCAGCCGTACCAGTGTTTCCGCTGCCCGTGCTCCACTGAATTTTCCAGCGGCGACTGTCAAATAAGTAAGGCGGTTTTCTGAAAAGGTTGAACAGCAGTGGGGTGCTATCGTTCTCCTATCCCATTGGGGCCTTGGGGTTGGAATATATTCTACATTTGTGGGAGTGATGCTGGCCATGACGGACTTTGGGTCTGGTCTAGTCTGAGCTTACAGAAACTAAGAAGAACAGCTGCTCTCTGGTTATTGATGAACCCAGGATGGGGAAGTGGCAGATAAAGGTTTTGTAGGCAAGATAGTCCTTGCTGGACAGGTCAACGACACTGCAATAGGCAGTTGAACTGGGCTTGTTGGATCTGCAACTCCCTCTGCTGGCCACTTGCTTTGGTTGCACTGACCAACAGCAGGGTTTGCCCTTGATGGAGCAATGTCTCCCTCTTCTGGCCGGCCAGCTCAGCTGTGTGGAGAATGCTCACCCACAGCTGGGCTGCTGAGACCTAGCAGAATCACCTAGTTTCTGCCCAGATGCCTCCTTAGGACCAATCTCTTGTCTGTTATCTCAAGATCTGCATTTAATTGGATGTGCGCTTCAAAGCGTCAAGTACATATACAGATCTGGCCTTGGATCTTTCAGTTGACTTCTCCTTCTCCTTCTGGTAACACTAGAATTGTGAAGGAATGGTTGGATGAAGGCCGCGCCCGGGGAGATAAGCATTCCCTTAGCCCCCAACAGGAGCGTGGGAAGTTTAAGAAGATGAGACTGGCACCACGCTAAGGAATTCAGGGTATTGTGGCTGGCTGGCTTGGGAAGTTAGATTCAGTCTGGAGAGATTTCTGTCCTGAGGTGGAAGCTAATAAACGCAACAGAACTGTATCTGCGCTGTCTTGGGGAGTTCTTTGGGCTGAACCTGACAAGAATTTAGATTTCTGCTTGGTTGACCCCTGGCAAGATGGAATTCAGTATGAGGTGTTGGAAACACGTAGCAAATGTTGGCTATTGAACTAACTAATATCCTCTTCCCCAATCAGAGCCTGGTCAGCAGACACCAACCTGTGACAAGTGCCGACCCGGCTACGTTGGCACTCTCTGTAACCAATGTGACGATGGCTACTATAGCTCTGACAGCGTCTGCGTCAAATGCCAATGCAATGGGAACGTGGACCCAGCCCGTTCACCAAGAGTCTGCAGGGCAGATACAGGGGAATGCATTGGCTGTCTCTACCACACAGCAGGGTTTCATTGCGAGAACTGTCAAGAAGGATATGTCAAACTTTTGGAAGGAGGAAACTGCACCAAGGAAGGTATGCATTGTCTCCAGTTGGATCCACACGTTCTAGTAGCATGCTTAACTTACTACATAGTTTGATGGGTGTGTTGACTAAGCTACAATGGTTTGATTCTAAACAACAATGGCTTAGATCGAACGATGTTTTAATTTAATGTGATTTGTGAACCTAGTCACTGAATGTGAATAGATATCCTATTACATTTAATGGCTGGATTTAATGCTGAGTTACCTGCATAATCTAATAACAATTCACTTTGCCCTATTTTTAAAAATGTAGAATATATTCCAACCCCAAGGCTCATCCCTTCAGCTCCAAACATTAATGTCTCAACCGCTTCGCCCACGATGGCCTTCAACAGCACGTCGGTACAGACAACAGTAGAGACGGCCTTTCCAGGTACATCCTCTGATAACAGCACATCATCTTTTGCGGATGTCTCATGGGCCCAGTTCAACATCATCATTCTCACCGTGATCATCATCCTGGTGGTTCTACTGATGGGCTTCGTAGGGGCCGTCTACATGTACCGTGAATATCAGAACCGGAAGCTGAACGCTCCCTTTTGGACCATTGAACTTAAGGAGGACAACATTAGCTTCAGCAGCTACCACGATAGCATCCCCAACGCAGATATCTCCGGCTTGTTAGAAGATGATGGAAACGAGGTGGCCCCCAACGGTCAGCTGACTCTGGCAACTCCAATGCATAACTACAAAGCATGACAAATCCAGGGAGGAACTGACTGCAAACTTTCTAACTTGAACAGATCAGTGCAGGGCCTTTGGGGAGAGTATTGAATGATTCCTGTGTTTCAGATATGAGGAACTACAGTAGAGACCTTTCCTAGCTTGGCCCAGCTTTGTGTCCATGTTCAAAAAGACGAGCATCAGACAATGACCGTAACAGAGGCGAGTCACATAAAATGATGGATTGGATTCAGCTCACCGTTTCTGATGCCCCAGTGGAGAGTCACTTGTATTTTTTTAAAAAAAGCAATTGCTTTGAATATATATTTTTGTATGGAACAATGGAGAAGTAACTAAGAAATCATCTCATTGCTACTCAGAAAACCTAGGCTGACACTGGAACTGAATTTTTAAGCTCTCGTCGGAAAAGCGATCGATGATACAGGACGAAATGGTAAGAATGGATCTTTGGTTTTGGAAAAGAAGAATAAAAATGTTTCTCGTTCTGAGTTTTGCTATTTAAAACGATTCATGCATTGGCTGAAGATACAGACTAAGGGCAACCAAAGCTTTTCGTAACACCTTCATTCTCCTCTCTTTGTTTTTGACAAATGGCTCCAGGTTCCTCTTTCCGTCTTTTTGTGAACGTTTCCTTCCACGCTAGTGACACTATTTAAAACTTAGAAACTGCTTTTTATTTTCCTGCTTCCTTGAACCTGGATTCCTTCCCCTCTAGGAAGCATGACAGATGTTGTAAGGTATCTTTCAGGAGACTCCTATTCAGAGCAGAAATGTAAGCAAAGATTCCTTCGCGCTGTATTGTAACTATTTGTACAAAAAGTTCAAGTGTCGAATTTTAACTGTTAAGATTTTTATCTGTACAGGGGTTCACGGCATTGTAAAAACAAGGCCAAACCAAATCAAACCCAAACTAAGAAATGGGAGGAAAAGCAAGTATTGTATTAAAGTGCTGTAAATTTAGAGGGCGATAACTGGAGCTGGGTCTCCACCAGAAAAAAAAAAAAAAAAAAAAAAAAAGATTTGTTGCTAGTTTCTCCTCTTCTAATAATACAAATCTTTTGTATCTTAAGTGTAAGCTTTTCCTGCTTGTTATTTCAAGTATCTACAGGTTTCCTTGCCCCCTAACAAATCCTTCCAAAAGTTTTGTGGGTTTTTTTTTTGGTAAGTATGTGGGTTACTGGGATAGATTTGTTAATAGGACTATTCCCTTGGATACAAAGAGAAATGGAAGGAAAGTATAGATTTCTCTGGCACTGACTGTAGAATCTGGACTAAATTTGGAAGCCCATCCTCTTGCTGACTATATATCTTAGTTGGGAGTAGAAACTTCTTTGCTGCATAAAAACCCACTAATCAAACAACACACCTTAAAATAGGAATCATCATCATCATCATCATCATCATCAGCCAGGAGGGGGGCATCTGGCTTTCCCCTATCAGTTCAGATACTGATATTGGTCACTGCACTTGTCATCTGCCATTTACTGGGTCGTAACTTAGAGCTGGCTTGGATTTCTAGCAGTTTCTTGCCTTAAAAAAAATTAAAAATCAGGGCACCCTCTTTCAAGCGTTCCTTGTTCCGCTATAGGCATCTCATAGGCACTACATCTTCCTGGCCTGAAACTCTAGAGCAGGACGTCCTTATGATTACGGTTGGAACATCTGTAGAACTTAGGCTAGAAAAGTATACAGGGATTGCTATTAGAAAGGGTGATATTAGGGACTTCCTGCTGAACAGCCTCACGACTGTAGCCCTCGCCAGATGTGGCTCTGTTCTGATTGGTTCCTTTCAGTATTTTATCCGTAGGCCACCCAGGATCAAAAGGCTATTAGCCAAAACCCACTTCTCCGAAAGGTTGCTGCATCTCTCCAAATAACTGCACTCACGCATTATCTTGAGCTGTAGTCTGACCATCTCACAGGGTTGGAAAGGGGCTTACAACGTCCCAGAAATTCACACCAGCTAAAACACCCGCCCGTATTTAATGTCCTTTGTTGAAAGGTTTTTAATAGCTGTTGCTTTGTACCGCTTCCTCCTGGAGCTAGACGTCCTGAGCGGATTCACATATCGGAGTTGGGTAACCACATTTGCTCCATGTACACGTCTTAACTTTTCATTAGGCTTCAGGGGTGGAAGAAATACAGAACCATCCTTCCTCAAGGGCTCGGAGAGGGAAATGGTGTGAAATTGCGCACAGCACAGCATAACACTTATTTGACAAAGGAAAAGCAACTTTGGCAGGCACATTGTAGGCTGCCTAAGTGAAATTTGATACTTGGAAAGTGAATATTAGCAGGAGAGCTATCCAGGATCAAAGTTGGCCAGATTTCAGTTGATTGAGCAGGAAAAAATAAAATAAAAAAACAATAACAAAACTGAACAAAAATAAAACCGTATTCTTGGGCCCTAATTTTTTGAATAGTAGACCAGAGGAAGAAATACGTTCTTAGCACTTTGAGGCTTGCAGAGTTGCCAAGATAAATTCTTTCTGAAGAGGGTGACACTGCCCAAGTGGGACGATTTATACCGAAGAGTATTTTTGTCCTGCAGTTTCAGCGTCTGCTGAGCTGAACCCGGATTCCCGTTTACAGCATTTTTTGCTTTTAAAGTCAGAGGCTACCATCAGTCAAATGTTGAGCATTATGCCATAGGCATGTCATATTTACTTTCCACTGTAAAAATGGCCTCATTTTTTTTTGTCCTGATGGCTTTGCTAGGTCACCCCGGCTCCATGTGGCCATCCCAGACCTGAGACAACTCTTCCTATCGCACGCGGGTGCCACCTCTTCCAAATTTAGGTTTATGGGGTTGGGTGGTCAAAATTGTATCAAAATCCTTACTTTTTTGCTAAAGGAGGGCGAGGCAGTTTTTGCAGGTCGTGGCTGCTGAGCGCTGTCATTTAGGAGGATTTTGAAGAAGAAAGGTCTCCATCGTGTATTGAAGCCCCCAAGCTATCCTCAGCTGCAACTGAGATAAGAACATATGTTTACTGGATGTAATGTTTGATTTAGCCCCAGGAAAGGCAAGGTGAAAAACTCCTTTCTTCAAAAGAGTTCAACAGTTCTCCTAAAGCAGCCGACAAGCTTGCAAGCGTGGCCTTTTGAAAGCATCGAAACGGTGCACAGGGCTTTATAAGTTTGACACTCTAAGTAGTCTTGAATGAGTCTTGCGCAGAGAAGTCATGAACGCATTTAGCCACATGGGATCGAAGGGTCAAAGAACAGGTGATGCCTCCGCAGAGTAAAAATTGTCACAGTTCCTTAAAAGAGCTCCTGGAAGATTAAATCACTTCGATTTGGAGCAAAGAGGTGTCCCTGAGGGGCTGCTAGGTATACATTCAAGGAAATGTACATGAAGTAGAAACAGATAGGTAAGCTATGATTTAAACCACATCAGTGAGAGTGGTGAGTCATTTCAATCCCCGACCTTCTAGTCTGAACAAAGGTGACCTCCATACCAGTGTTGAGCAGTTAGCCTTTACAAAAAAAATATTGTTCAAAAGGTGATTTTTATGATTCTGAGAAATGGGCCAGTTAAGGCATGATCCAGTGACTCTGTTCCGCGGCCACCTGGGAAATACTTGTGTCCAAACATAAAATAGAGAGGGTGTGCGTGTGTGTGAGTGTGTTGTGTGTGTGTGTTTTAAACTTTAATGAAGTACCATAGCTAGAAATAATTGCATGAAGTTTAACTGTAGAGAGATGGCATGAATTGTATAATGAAATAGGTACCGTGTTAGACCAGGCAAAATAATATGTTTAAATTTATGAAGCAAGTATGATAATTTTAGCATGATTTGCAAGCCCTTTTGACTCTTAAGTATATGCAAAATATAGCATACATCCAGCAAACATAATCCAACTGAAAGAAGATTGAAGCCTGAAATAGGTATCTGTTAAATGCAGCGCTCTAAACTTCTGGTCGCCTCCAACATTTATGCCTCTGATTCTTGGAATTAAGATTTGGACTTACAATCTGAATACAAGTTGTATGCGTTCTAACATGACATGTCAACTATATTTTAGGGCCTCTTATCCTAAGCATATGTTAAGCTTATGAAATGCATTTATTTGGGGAAAAAATGTCTCATTGTGTGTATGTGAGTGTGTGAGGGGTGAGTGTATGATCTGAATTTCCCTGGAATTTATACTGAAGAATGTTATTTAAAATCAAATAAAATGTAGATAATTTGTATCTACCCCAGTTTGGCTGTTTATAATTTATTTTATGGCATGCAACTTTGTCGTCATATCTCATTTCTATAGAAAGCTGTAAACCACACACAGAAAAATAATATAGCTCAAGTGTATGAGAAAGAGGTGAATGAAAAATAGCATGGGTCTGTAACTTTTTAAAAAAAGAATTGATTCTGCCCCTAACTTTAGATCTACAGGGCAGTCCTCGTTTAGTGACCACAATTGTGACTGGCAACTCAGTCGCTGAGCAAAGTGGTCACTAAACTGTGACTGTGCTTATGATCTTTCTCCAGCTTTCCTTTGCTTTACAGATCTGCAAAGGTTGTAAATGTGAGGATTGGTCACAAGATTACTTTTTCATCACTGTCGTAACTGTGAATGGTCGCTAAACAAAGCAGTGGCTAAATGAGGACTACCTGTATTTCCCTCTTAAAAAGTGGTACCTAGGATCAGTCAGTAACTCCACCCTTTGCTTGCATATTCCCCTTCGAATGCAATGAAGTAGAGGTTCACAGTATTCCACAAAACATGATTCCCTACATGTAAACCTTTACAGTTTCCACCTCTCCATAATAATAACATTCTTGCCACTGAAAGATTTAAGAAGGCTGCAATGGCCAACATATTAAAATAAGGCTAAACAACACTAATCTGATTAGGGTTGTTTGATCTGATTAGGGAAGTCCTTCATGGCCTCAAAAAAATGTTGGTGGCCAACCTCTTACAGGGTTCTACCTGCGTATAGGTATATACGTCCGCAACAGGTATAATAATGGGTTTTCCAAGGCTTTTGGACTTCAGCTTCTCCCAGATCTGGCCGATTGAGGGACTGGTGGCATTTGGAGGCCAAAACATCTGGAAGACTCCCATTCATTCATTCATTGTTTAATGTAGGAACTGCCCAACTCTACAGGACTTTGGGTGGCTTACAACTTTAAAAGCAAGAAATTAACAATCAGAACACACAACATGAGCGACTGGAAGAAGACAACCGCCTAGTCCAGATGGATTTCTGGGTCAGAATTAGGTGGGGGCCTGTCATTTTCAGTTCACACAAAGGTGCTATGCATCTAAGACATGCAGATCTGGAGGGCCACAAGGTTTCTCCTCCCTGGTTTCTGAGAAATAGAGATTGATGCGATCAACAGTGATAGGATGGAACGGTGCCGCTGGGATGCAGTTATGTGGTGAATGGTGCCTCTAGGCATGTAAAGAGTACCTTGGCCTTCTAAGATACCAGCTCTTCTTCTAGGCAGTCTGGAGGTGGAACTTCTTAGAAGAGAAGATGCCAGAATTGGGTTTGTTTCTCGTACCCACCTGGGTTTGTATCACCAAAGACAAGGGGCATTCTTCCACCCTGGAGAGGAAAGAAGCATTCACATGAAATAGTAAAAAGATCATGTTGGAGTCCAGGTGGACTCCAACTCCCATCAGCCTAGGCGACAGAAGTGGAGAATGGGAATTGTACTCCAGCCCTACCCATCCGGATGGAGCTGACCTAGCCCAGTAGTTCTGGAGGGCTATCCTCATCAAAAGTAACTTCATTTTGCATCTCCACCACCAATCCCAAATCGGAGTTGGAGTTTTAATCGGAGGATCCCTTCTTCCCATCGCTCAGGACCAAGGAGTCCTCCCGAGCCCCGCCCCTGCCTGAAAAACATGGCGCCCGCCTCACCACCCGCGAGC